AAATGAAAGACCTGTAGATGTTGAAGACACAAAACGTACCTTACACTCGCACGGCGCGGACGTTCGGGCGAGGCGTCGGCGTACGTGACAGTGTACAATTCGTCGGCGCCGAACCCTGCTCGCGCACGATGCCTATGAGAGACGATGGCGTAAATGAAAGATCTGTAGATGTTGAAGACACAAAACGTACCTTACACTCGCACGGCGCGGACATTCAGGTGAGGCGTCGGCGTATGTGACAGCGTACAATTCGTTGGTGCCAAACCTTGCTCACGCACGATGCCTATGAGAGACGATGGCGTAAATGAAAGATCTGTAGATGTTGAAGACACAAAACGTACCTTACACTCGCATCGCGCGGACGTTCGGGTGAGGCGTTGGCGTACGTGACAGCGCAGCTACCGTCCAATCCGTCGGCGCTGAATCTCGCGGCGCCAAATCTTGCTCACTCGTGGGCGAGTGGTTGCGCTAGCTCTCGTGGAGCAGGTCTACGCCGTCAGTAAGGCGCCGTAGTCACTGTCACAGACTAATACTATAATCATACCATATAGTTCACGAAGCCATTACCGTGACCGCAGTTCGTACGTCGCCTCGTATGAGCCACGCATACAGTTGTACGGGTTGTTATATATCTCATCGTCGTCGTTGTGTGATGTGCACCGTGTCGTTGTGTGATGTGCACCGTAGGGCGTCTTCACTCCTTCGTGGACAGAGCAGTCGGGACGTGTCATTGTCGTGGATGAAAGTGTCGCCTATAGATCGAAAGGGCCGGGTGTGCGTCGAAGGCGCGAAAGTACGGATGGTAGCGGCGAAGGCGCGAAAGTGCGGACTTAGGAGAAACGGGCGCCTCAATGGCACATGACGCGGACTCACGCCTGTGGCGCTCTCACCGACGCGTTTGTTGACGTGTCTGCTCCGTGTTTCCTGACGCTTTTGCCTCGCTGCACCCACCCACGCACAGACCAACAGTTCCCTGTATAAAACACCCTGCCTGCTGTCTCTCGTCCTTCGTACCAAGGGTTGTGCCTTTGACGGCGCTTTCTCAAAGATGCACGGTGAGCACTCCATGCTTGACTGGGCAGGACCTGTCCGAGAGGCTGCGTGACGACTGCGAGCTCGCTGCCGTGTCTTTCGCGATATTGCGGACCTTCGTGTGTCGGCTGGGCTCCGGTGATGCAGCAGACGGTCGTCCGCGAGTCTGCTCGTGACCAGCAGCTGCCGTCCTCCTCTCTCTTTCGGACAACGAGCTGACCGCGTCTCATGTCTTAGTCAAACAATTTGTCGCTCGCTTTCTGGTAGAGGTATGTGCCGCACTGCTCTCATGTACAAGTACTAAACCAGCACCGTTCAGATTGGGAGGGCGACGAGCCCAACAAGAGATGCTGAACCTCCTCGGGTGAAAGTTTTCCGGTCGACGCGCTCCGGTCGAGCGTTCTCACCGTGGTCTCGAGAGAACGTTATCCAGCCATCAGCTTCGTTCAGCCTGGAGGAAGCGCTTGCTGACTGTGAGGGCCGTGCTTACAGTCAGGACGTTTTGGATAGGGCTGTGGATGACGACGAGGATAACGTTGACCTCACTTCAGACCCTTATTGGTCAGTTGTGACTCAGTCTACAGCTCCAATAGCCTCTTCGTTACCTCCAGCCTCTTCGTCATCTCTACCCTCCTCCGACCACTCCACGCTCACTATATCCAACAACCTGCCTCCTTCATCCGCCGCCTCTATCCCTTTGGGTATGACGCCGCCCTCTGCTCCTATTACCTCTACCTCACCAACAACGTCCCTCTCTTCTACGTTCTCCCCTAAGCAAAAGGCAGCATATCATCGCCTCCAGCAGAAGAAGAAGCGCCGGAGAAGGGAGGATGAAGCCAAGTCGACTCTACTCGGGTCACGAGGCATGCATAGTCTTAAACAGAAAGAGGTCTCGCTGAAGAGGAAGGCTGGCGTGCATGCTGTTCCCGTGAAAGGCGACCAGCAGGTGTTTCACAGAGGGAAGTCCGGCTACCAGGGTGTTAACCAGAAGGCAACCCCGGATGCAGGGCGGGAATACAGGCTGGATGATCCTGTGATCAAGGGCATGCAGTACGTTGAATGGGATGGAGTGTAAGTCTATCTATAGTTTCAGCTTTTACTGGCCTTTGACGTTAGCCCTGTAGAACACCCAAGGCCGTTGCTGACCCGGATTGTGACGGCCGGGTCCTGGTAGTCCTTGCTGGTGCTCCCCGTGAGGGCTGGGATGAAGTTTGTCAAGGAGCTTCCGAGGCCATGCTCGCTGCTGGCAAGAAGTTCAACTGCTCGGACAAGAAAAAGGCTCACCGCCGGGGAGTTTTCCCTGTGGCCACCACAGGTATATCATATGGAGGTGGACGAAAGGTCGGTCGCATCTGCTCTATTGCCGCAAACTGGTATTGATGCAATAAAAGGCACCAGGCAATATCCGAATCGATGGTGTGATCAATCTCCTCATCATCCGCTCACTGCTCGACAACCCTTTCATCCAACGAATTGTAGGTTTTGCGAACCGTACGTTGTGCCTTCATGCTCCCTTTAACTCTTTGCTAACAGAGACCCTGCAGAGGCCTTTGATCTCTATGCCCCCCGTCTATTCAGCTACTATGTCAACATGCTCAACTACCTATGTGAAACCGACCCCAGGCTTGAGCGACACTTTGCAAAGTCTGCATTTGCATGTTATGCTTTCAATTTGGGAGGCAAGGTTCGGTCGTGGGTTCATACTGACCATTTGAACCTTGCTTTCGGATGGTGTAGTGTTACGGCCTTGGGTAATTTTGATCCAAAGAAAGGTGGCCACTTAGTCCTGTGGGACCTTAAGCTGGTGATTGAGTTTCCTCCCGGTTCTACCATATTTTTACCATCAGCTCTCCTACGCCACTCAAACATACCTGTACAGCCTGGAGAGGAAAGGCTATCTTTTGTGCAATGGACGGCTGGAGGATTATTTCGGTGGGTGGACTTTGGATTCAAGCCTGCTGGGATATTTGCCAAGGAAGTTGGCAAGAAGGCAGCTGATGAAGCCAACAAGGCTCGGTGGCGGGAAGGTCTTAACTTACTGCCTCGATTGTCCGAAGTCTCTTCAACGTCATAGTACTAGTTCAGTATATTAATTGAAGAATCACTATTGCACTTAAGCTTCAGAGCCGCTATTCTCATCTAACGGCACCTGGCTACCCTCTCCATACAAGTCCATAAAGTGAGCGTACAGACTAAGTCCCTGTGACCATGAGACTGCTCGAGGCCACCAAACCGCAAATGGGAGAGGGATGTCTATGTACTTACGACCACTCCGGATGGACTGGAACTCAGGATACCCATCTCCATCCCACTCAGCATCATGAACCCCAAATCCCTCAGGAACGACTTGCTTGTCTCGGAGCTCCTGTAAGGCAGCCAAGAAGGCAGTTGTGACTTTGGGAGTGAAAGGACTATCAGCTGCGGGAACGGCAACAGGGTCATGACGTATATGGTGCACTTGCTCATGGGCGATGTGGCTGTCAAGGTCTTCATCGGAGTCATCTTCATCGTCCGAGTGACCAGCTCCAGTCTGACCATCATGGACAACTTCATGGGCTGAGTCGGCACCATAGTACTGATTTAAGATATCAGGATGGACATCCTGGAAATCGTCATAGACTCCATGCTCCAATTGACCAAGAAACCGTAGATCCTAGAGCAAAAACATATATAAAGTGATCTTGGAATACTCATAGCCACTCACCGAAGGGGTTTGGTCTGCTTCTCCCAATATCGGGTGGTGGTTCCAGTCTTGTTGGAATTTGGCACAGTCGTCACGGATATCGTGAAGAAATAGGGTGTGCAGTAGCCAGAGATGACCAGGGTCTTTTGGATTCAGCCGATGAAGATGTTCCAATCGAGTAAAGAAAGCCCGCCATTGCCTGCCGAATTGAGATCCGACTTCAACCCAAAGACGTTCAATGCGAGTGTTCCGAGTTGAGCTGTATACTCTTAATCACTTCTTTGGATGAGAGTCAAAGGAAGACTACTTACCTACCCCACATGAATGATGCCCGGTTTGGTCCACGATACTTGATCATCCATACACAGACCTCTAAATTCTCGCCTCCACGATCTCCTCGAACCCTGGATGGTAGCCCATACTCTGCAACTGCATCAAGAAACAGGTCGAGAACTGTGGAGGCACGATTATTTGTGTTGACCTGTATTCCGACAACCTTGGGGCAAATCTCAGCTCTAGTAAAACCCGATCAGTCAAAGGGCACTCACACTCCGACAGAATCCATCCACAATGCCATGAACAACAACACCCCACCGTATGAGCTTATGGTAGCCATCCATATGCCACAGATAGTTAGGACGAGGGACGTTGTACTCTCGCCGATCGATAGCTTCATGGTTACGGAGCACTTGACCCAATCCGTCGATACGTCGGAGTGAAGTACGTACACGACGCTTCTGGACTCTCAGCCCATGGCTCTTCAGGAAGCCAATTACGTAGCGCAAACCAGACATCGGTCGATGTTTCTTGTAGAGTCGAACAAGCAGATCAATGTCATTGTCGGAGATGTCAGAGAATCGCTGGTAGACACCATAGAGCTTCAGCTGCTTGCTCACAGCATTTCGATGCATGCCAAGGAGATCAGCAAGCTTCTGGATGCTGATTTTACGGTGTGTAGACATTGCTTCATTGAGCCAGGTGGGATTGATAACCTTCCGAGGACGCCCACGGCGCCCAGTCCGGATGATGGTGACAGGATTGAAGTGGTGGACCTTGGCTTGCTCACTGACTAGGGTAAGCACGAACTCTAGCAGCTATATGGTGATACACGTACACGCCATCCGCTGCGAAAGCTGCCCGTTCCAAGTCTACAGTAATCTTCGCCAGCGCGTGAGCACATCCAGAGCTCCAATGCTCATCAGCGACCTCTTGATCTAAAGCCTCTAGAATAGGGATCATCCTTTTCAGAATCCGTTCCGAGTGGATACGGAGCCGTAGAGGGTCTCCATCTTCCTGTCGTAACAAGTCCGAGGCACGGGCATACGCATCGTGAAGAATTTGATGGGCCCGAAGAACATTAGCAGACCAGACTGTGCCATCAACAGAAGGAGGCAGGGGAGGGAAGACAGCAGGACGGGGTGTATCCATAGAGTGCACGTAAGATGTTTGTCAGATTCAGGACAGATTGGAAGTGCGACATACCAGATTGGGCAGTGGCTGAGAAACTGTGACACTGCTCATTCCTGCTATGTCGGCTAAAATTCACCACCCGTACTTTTATTACAAGGACGGGTCATTCAGAATGCAGGTAGAGTCTACTGGGATTTATTATTAACCATTGGACATATACTAAAGACATAGTGTAGCTGGGGAACACTCTATATAACCTGCATCTTAGCCTTCTCTCCGAACGCTCTACAGTCTTCAGAAATATGCTGATGATGCCATCACCGGTTGGAATAGAAGTTGAGGGAAGCTCAGATGAGAATCCAATGGTGCTGCCAGCAACAATAGAGCAGAAGGAGTTTGACATCCTGCTTGAGTACATGTTTAGGGGGTACGTGTTAGTTGTTCCAGCAGAACATCACAGTTAATGGAAAAACAAGACGTACAGCTGCTCCTCCAAGCCTGGACAACCTGATTGTGATCCTGAAGCTGTCAACAATGCTAGAAATCGATGATGGAAGAACCTATGCCATCGACCAGCTGTCGAAGAGGGCAGACCTGACCTCAGCTCTTCAGTTTCACCTCGGATGTGCACACCATGTTACTGAATGGGTGGAGCCTGCCTTTCGGGCGTTGATGAAAATACCATTCAAAGATATCTCGAGGGAGATCGCTCACCTCATGGGACCTGACGCCTTTTACATCCTCTCTCAAGCCCACACTGCGATCAGAGACCACCTGAACATCCTCGCCTTCTATCCTTCCGATCCTATCGAGAGCGTCCGCTGCTTCCGGCCAGGCAGATGCACTGAAGCCTGGGTTTCGCAGTGGTGGCAGGGAGTCGCAAAGCACCTGCTTCACCCTGACTCGGGAAAGTCAGGTAGAGAGATCTTGGGGATGCTGGAAGAGGTATCGATCCCAGGGATGTGTCGGAATTGTCAGAAGGAGAACGTTGACTGGGTGAAGCAGACAGGAGTGATGACGAAGGCCGACGAGTACTTTGAGGGGGCAGTGGAGCAGATCGTGGCAGCATATGGGAGCAGGGACAAGGGTAAGGCAGCAGCAACTGCTGTTGAGGATGACGAGGCCTAGCGATGGTACCCCAAGAGTAGCTGTGTTCGCTGTAGGAGCCTAGATATGTGCAGTCGACAAGTTATGCGCGTGTTCAGCGAATGTGTGCATATTTGGGTGTGTTATATAAGCATTTCCATTTTTAGGGCAAATGGACCGTCATATTTTTGGGGATAGAGGATAACCGAGGCTATATATTCAAGTGGCGAACAACTTCTGCTGTACCGTCCACATATACTCCTCTGACCCGACACTAATGGTCAATCAACGTGGGCAGCAGCAAGCGAAGAGGGGCAAGACAGGCTCTGGCCGAGGTAGAGGCAGAAAGCAGAACAACAAGAACACCCCCAGCAAGGAACGGCTCAATGCAACTCCTCCCTCACCAAAGTCTTACCCGAAACCACGCCCAAACTACAAGGGTGCACTCAGATTGCGTACACCTCCGCAGTTGAAAGCCCGGTGTCCCCGGCGAGCCCGGCCATAGAGTCGACGCGCAGTCCTTCGATCACAGGAACTTTCATCTACAAATACTAGCTGCTCGGGGCTATAATGAATGCCCATATGGAAACGGAAGTCGGCTCGAACATCTTCATCGCGTTCAAGCGCCTTTTTCGTTATCTGTAGGCAAACGATCCGGGTCTACCTAAGTATGATACTAGGCAGCACACTGGAGGCTTACCCTCTTCCTTGTCTGACCTAGGCGTTGCAATGCCTCCGCAACAGAGGCGCGGCTTACATGTGAACCGCGAGTTTCTGCAAGTGCCGCTGCAAGTCGTCAAG